AAAGATTTTTTTCTCTGTAGTAAAAGTAAATTTTGATCAGACAGAAATATACAGGATAATTTTTATATTCCAGAACCCCTTAAAATTTTTATTTTAATTCCACTTTTTTTTGTTTAAAAAACGAAAAAAATGAGATTAAAAAAATTTTTAGGATGTCCGGAACATAAAAATCACCCTGTATATATTTTGTACATCAAGAAAACTTAAACATACCGTAAAATGTACACACATACTTGTTATGAAACTAACCGTGAATCAACAATTTAGGCAAAATTTTATAATCAAAATTTCGAAGGTTTCGAGACAGAGAGAGAGAGAGAGAGAGAGAGAAAAGAGAGAGAAAAAAAGCATAGCAAACAAAATATATTCTAATATGAACAAAACTTTCATTTCACTGTATTAAATTCTCTTGTTTGCAAAAATTTCATTGTTAAACCAACAATAGGCAAAAAATAAATTAAAAATTGTTAAGAAATAAAAATGAATCTTTTGGTATTTATGAGAATTTAAAATATAAAATAGTTTTTAATTAAATGTTGAAAATTTTAAAGTGTAACAAATTTTAAAAATTTGAAAAAAAACCATATAAATTTAACACAAATGTGCTTTTATCCCCCATATATATATATATATATATATATATATATATATATATATATATATATATAGTCTTTCTACTTTGATATTTACCAGAGACAAAAAAAGAAGGGAAAATAAAAAAATATTCATATAAAGAAAAAGAAGAGAAAAAAAGTGACGAGGACGTAGGGTATATATATATATATATATATATATATATATATATATATATATATAAGGTATTCTGAACTTTTTATTTCTTTTGGCATCCCTTGAAGAGAAAAATGGAGTGTTTACAGACTTTGTGGATTTGGTGGAATAAATCTCTGAATTACTTTTTCGATTCTTAAGCTTTCCCTATACAGTTGCGCTTCGTTCTATTATCTACCTGAATGCTTGGAAGATAAAAACCCTATACAGATACAATGAACGTTCTTCTATTTTCGATTAAAGTGACTTTTTTATATATATATATATATATATATATATTAAATTGAGATTTTATCTTTGTTATAGATGAACAAGCTAAATAGTGAAAAGTTCTATTTTATAACCCATTTTGTAAATAACAATTAAATAATTACTTTCAATTTTTTTAATGAAAATTAAATTAAAATTTTTAATAAATTTATATTAACTAATATTCACTACTTAGTATTTTAATTTCTACTCTCTAAATCTGAATTAGTAAAAATTTATACTAATTTGAATTAGTTACTCACTTTTTGCTTCTGAATTAGTTAAATTTTTCTAATTATTAGTAAAAGTTACTAATAATTAGTAACTAATAATTAGTAACTTTTACTAATAATTAGTAAAATTTAACTAATTCAGAAGCAAAAAGTGAGTAACTAATTCAAATTAGTGAACATTTTTACTAATTCACATTTAGAGAGTAATAATTCATATACTTTGTTGAAGAAAAAATAAATATTAAGTTATACGATTTAGTAACGACATAACTTTTTGGAGAATTATCCTATCTCACGCGATTTTCTCTGATTCTAAAATCACGCAGTGAATTCCTGAAACAAACGTCCCCTTATTACCATTCTTCTCAGTTATCTAACTTCGTGAATCTTAAAAAGCCAATTTGGAATTTCAACGAGAAAAAGAGCTTTTAGGCCAATTTTGCATGAAGCTATATCCGCGTTGTTATCGCGCGCAATGACAATTTTCACCCATGAAAATGAAAAGTACAATTTTTCCTTTCTTGGTTTGTATACACTGAGAAAAAAATTTTTTTTTTTTTTTTAAATAATTTAGCATATTATTTAATAAATATTTATTTGAATCAAATTAATATTTACTTGAACCAAATAATATTTAATATGAATCAAATAAATATTTACTTGAACCAAATAATATTTAATATGAATCAAATAAATATTTACTTGAACCAAATAATATTTATTTGAATCAAATAAATATTTACTTGAACTAAAAATAATTTTTACTTTAGATCGAATAAATATTTATTTGAATCAGATAAATTTTTTTTCTTCTATACACGGAAAATATATAATATAATATATGAATTATGCCACCGTTGAGAGATTACCGTAAGAATTGTACACTTTAGAACAATTTAACAATTTTATGACAAACTTTTCATTGCCTCGAGGTTATGCGCGTCTGCACTTTAATTTGGATTCTCGCATATGATAAAATATCATATATAACAACTTTTAAATCTGCTCATGGCAAAAAACTTTTACTGTCCCGACTGTTGTCACATTTTCCAAGTACTTACACTGATAAAAAAAAAAAATTATTTCATTCAAATAATAATCCGATTTCAAATAAATATTTAATTGTATTAATTATTATTATTTGACTCAATTAAAAATTAAAATATTTATTTCTATTAAATAATTATTGAGTCAAAATTTTTTGTTTACTATTAATTAGTTAAATTTTACTAATTCGAGATCCACTTGAAAAGATTCCCCAGAAAGTGCCCTCTGGCGATATTATCAGAATTCCAACGGAACTTCCAACATAATTCCCTCGGAATTCCATCGGAGTTCCAAAGAATTTCCGATGGGATTCCAACGGAATTCTGTCGGAATTCCGATTAATTTTTTTCAAAATTTTTAGAGTCCTAATTCCGTCAGAATTCCCTCGGAATCCCATTGGAAATTCTTTGCAACTCCGATGGAATTCCGACGGAATTACGTTGATAGAACCTCCAGCGGGGACTTTCCGGGAAATCTTTTCAAGTGGGGAGTAAAAGAAAATGTTTACTATTAATTAGTAATTTTTTTTTTTTTTAATTTAGAAGCAAAAAGTGTGTCACTATTTCAAAATAGTTAAAAAAAATTTTACTAATTCAGATTTAGAGAGCAAGAGAGTAAAGAAAAATATATATATATATATCAAAGAACATAGTGTACTTTGTCATTTTGCGTCCCTCTTAAAATGAAGTATTGCACCTAAAAGTTTGCACATATTCTAAGTTAACGATGCGCCAGTATAGGAAATTCTGTATTCGCCTGATATTGGCAGCTCACATGCTCTCACACAACATATTATACTGGTAAGCTGGTGCATTATGCATCGGCACTGTGCATTATATGTAATTTATTGCTTCTATTGTATTACCTTCGAGGTGTGGCAATTTTCAAAATGTCATATTGCCTTTATATTATTCAATTTAATTCCTACCAGAAGTTGAAAAAGTCATTTTTTAGTCAGACAGAATAATTTAAATCATTGTACATTTAGAATAAGTAGTATACACAGAAAATTAAAAGGCATTAAAATAAGCTGCAACGCTTATTACTTTAATCCAATTTTGCTTATTTTAATATCAAAATGGATTAAAATAAGCAAAATTGGATTAAAATAATAAGCGTTGCAGCTTATTTTAATGCCTTTTAATTTTCTGTGTAGGTAAGTTTTAATCAGACATAGTAATATTTTGTAAAAAAAAAAATCAGTAGTTAAAGTCAATTTTAGTCAGACATTTAACAATTTTGTTTTTCGCAAAAGTAGTAGATTTTAGTATCAGACAGAAGGGTTCACTTTTTTTTGTAATTTTAGCCTAAGTAGTACAAGTAGATTTTAGTCAGACAAAACGGTTATTTCTGTAATTTTAGTCTAAGTAGTACAAGTAGATCTTAGTCAGACAGAACTTTTTAAATTATTACAATTTCAGTGTAACTTGTTTCAGTAGTAGAAGTAATTTTCAGTCAGACACAACAATTTTTATTTTAGTATCAGTAGTAATAGTATATTATAGTCAGACATAATAATTCAGATTTTGAATATGAGTAGTAGAAGTAAATTTTAAGTCAGACATAAAGGTTTCCATTTTTCGTAATTTTAGTCTAAGTAGTACAAGTAGATTTCAGTCAGACAGAAATTTTTAAACTATTACAATTCCATAAGTAGCACAAGCAGATTTTAGTCAGCCAGTGTGAGTACTAGTGTCTAGTTTTAGTCAGACAAAAATTTTATTCAAACTAATATTTTCTAAAAAAAAGTATTAATAGTTTTTTTTTTAAACAAAAAAAAGTGTTAATCTTAAATATCAAACGAGAATCTCAAAATCTTGTGTTTGTATATTATTCACACAACTAAATCCTAAGATTAGTCAGTGAATTTTAAACAGTTCCGGGCTTAAACATCCCAGCAGGTGTATATGATACCTGTATATCAGATTACTATATATTCTAAAGTTTATTTTACGCTTGCAACACTTCGTTATTAATTCAGGAAATTTACACTTAATGCCTCTACAAAATATATATATATATATATAGATTGAAAATGACGAATTATTAATTCAAAATTATTTAAATATTCATTTAACTAGTAAATATCGTGGCATAATTATGTATATTATAATATAATTTAATATTAAATTAAAATTTCTTTGAAAATTTCAAAAAAGTTTATTACAAAAAATATTGTTATATTTTCTATTAAAATACAAATACAAAACATATATATATATATATAATTTATACACATATATTATAAATTTATTGTAATTTGTAATAAAGAAAAATTATTTTTTTCCTTTTCCAAAGTGTCAGTTTGCCGAGTGTATTTTCACTAATTTTCAAAATTAAACTTCTGAGATTTTTTAATACCACGCCCAATTACCTATATAAGCCCTTAAGGGTTTTTCTTATACGGAAATTGTATAGAAAAAAAATTGTTATTACAATTTTTTTTTAGGAATAAATTATTAATATCTTAAAAAAAAAATATTTTACACTACTTTTTTTTTAATAAATTTTAATTTTAATTAAAAAAAAAAAAAGTGTAGTATTTTTTTCTAACAATTATTTTTTCAAGATTACATTTTTTAATTTGTTTATTTTGGAATTAGTGTAAATAATTTTTTTATTTTCGTATACAGTAATAATATTTTTGAATTTGAAAAAAAATGATATTTCTCTCTGTTTCAGGTATATGGCTATAATGAATCCTCTCAAGCCTCGCTTAGGAAGAAAAGCCACTCTCTGTATAGCGCTAGCCATTTGGATAGTGGGAGTTGTTTTATCTTTTCCCATGTTACTTTTCTTTAGAACATTTACACATACTTTCACAAATGGCGAAGTTCGAGTGATATGTTATAGTCAATGGCCAAAAGAAAGCCATGAATATTTGTAAGTTTTCTATATATATATTTTTATAAATATATTTATAAAATATGTAAAAAAAAAAAAATCCCCAAAAAAATATTCTCTATATTAAAATACTAATATTGAAAGTGTTTTTTTATATTTTCTTTTTAAAATGAAAATATTTTGAATAATACTAAAAATAATAATAATAATAATAATGTTTAATAATTAATATTTTTAATTAGGTAATTAACTATCTAATAATAATAGAGATTGATAAATTGAAGATTTATAATTAAATTTGAAATTGATAAATAAATAAATTTTAAAATTTGTCTGATTAAAATAATTTTTATCTCTCTCTTTATATATATATATATATATATATATATATATATATATATATATATATAAATGAAAGGATTTTAATCGTTAATTATACGCAATATGCAAATTGATTTGTGGTTATTTAGTATCTAGAGATTCCTTAACAATCAAAGGGTTACAGTATGTAATCAGCTTGTAATTACCTATTCCATTTTGTGGTAATTGCAAAGGTTCCTTCCTGATCTTCCTTTGTGACCTAAAATCAAAATAGTTCCGTTCAATATGTATAATAGTATGAGAATAATTTTTAATTTTCAAAATTTATATTAAATTTATACCAAAAGTTTTGTTTATAAATTTTTTTTTTTCTAAATATAATTAAATTTATACACTAATTTAAAAATCCATCTTGGAATTATAATAATAAAAAAAATAATAATAATGTAAAATATAAAACAATATAAATAATAATAAAAAATAAAAATAATAAAAAAAAATGCAAAATAAAACAATTTACAAAAAGGATACATTAAAAAAAAAACCTTTCATAAATGCAAATTAAGATATGCATCCTTGTACCATAACAAAAGGGAACTTTTTTAATAAAAGGATGGCACCATATGGCAGTTAAATTTTAAACATTTTCATTAATTGTGATTTATTCCATATTTTGCACATAAATTATTATTTATAGAGATAATATTGAATATTAATTTATCATATATATCTCTAATTAATTGAAAATTAATTTTTAAAAATTAACAAAAAAAAATTAAATATAAAAAATATTTATTATAATTTTTTTTTTCTAAATAAAATAAATTTTATTTAAAAAAAACAAAAAAAATTCATTTGTAGTATTTTTGTATATAATATTCCAATCAATAGGAAGCAAAGTGATGACAATGAAATTTATCGCCATTATTGTTGAATGTGTTCAACTTTAGGAAAACGAACATAATTTTTCCATTCAATATTGTACATGACTAATCGGGCGTTTACTACATTCAAAATTTTATATGCTTGATAATAAACACAAAAATATACAAATATAAATATAAATGTTCACTGATCGCACTTCCTCGCGCGATATATATTCCAATTTTAGAGAACACATAAAATACTGCTACAAAAATGGGAAAACTTTTTAGAAAATAAAACTAACATTTTTTTTTTCAGAAACATTTTACGTTGAAAAAAAAATTATTTTTATTATTTATTATTATTATTATTATAGCAAACATAAATAAATAATATAAAATTAAATTTTTCAAAGTTGAAGAAAAAAAAAAAATTATAAGTATAAAATAATTTTAAGTAATTAGTTTTTGAAATTAATTTTTTATATGTGAGTTCTTTTTTCTAAATAAATAAATCAAAGGAATATTAGTCTAAAATTTAATTTAATTACTATTATTGACAATATGATGAGTAATGACTATAATTAATTGGAAAATGAAAAGATAAGCCAAATGTGGTTTATAATTAATTATACCTGACTCTTGATCAAAGCATTGTTGATTTTCATTTATATCTATATATACATACAGAAACTATTTCTATATTTAGCCGCAATTTCATTATCGTCATTTTAATTTATTCGCACAGTGATAAGAAGCTGTGTAAACCAAGCATTCTCTGATAGTAATGGATTTGAATTGGCTTAATGTAAATTAAATTGAAAGACGACGAAGAGATCTTGAAATGCAAGAGGCGAATTTCAAAGCTCAGTAAATAGCAACCTTCAAAAAATCTTACATTCATCTTAAATATATATATATATATATATATATAGAGAGAGAGAGCTTTAATATATAAGAATCATATTTTTTTTAATACTTTCACGATTTTATTGCTTTTAAAGTTCTATACAAGTTTCATTATACCGAAATACTTTTAGAGTTTCAAGTACATTTTTCTTTAAAGCAATTATTATAAGTGTACTTGCAAGACCAAGAAAATTTTTCCTTTCTGTTCTAACTAAATATAATTAAATTTTAATATATCATTAGTAGAAGTAAATTTTAGTCAGACAACAATTTTATTTTATATAATTTTAAGTGGTAGAATTCAATTTTAGTCGGACAGAACTTTGTAATTCTATTTTCAGTAGTAAAAGTAATTTTTAATCAGACTAAAAAAAAGGTTAAATAATTCTGATTTTGATGCAAGTAGTAGAAGTCAATTTTAGTCAGACTATGCATTTTTATGTAAATTCAAATTCAGCTTCAGTAGTGCAAGTAAATGTTTAGTCAGGCAGAACAGGTTTTATTTGTAATTTTATTTTCAGTAGTCAAAATTTAAGTCTGATTTAACTATCAGTAGTGCAAGTAAATTTCTAGTCCGACGCAACAGTTTATATTTGTAATTTTATTTTCAGTAGTAGAAGAAAATTTTAGTCAGACAGATATGAAAAATCATTCTGAATTCAATCTAAACAGTAGAACTAATTTTTTCTGTAATTTTAGTATCAGTAGTAAAAGTAAGTTTTAGTCAGACAGAATAATTTTTTGTTGTTCTATGGTCAGTAGTAGATGCAAATTTTAGTCAAACAAAACACACGAAATTTTAATTTAGAAGTACAAATAAATTTTTAGCCATTTTTTTATGTAATTTTGATAACAGTAGTGTAAGTAAATTTTTAGTCAGACAGAACAGTTTATATTTGTACTTGCATTAAAATTAGAAGAATTAAATTTATTTTTATTTAGACAAGTTAAAAAATTCTTTAAGTGGTAATAGTATATTTCATTCAGACAACAATTTTACTCTATATTTTTTAATACAAATTGTAGAAATAAATTTTATTTAGTCAGACTTATTACTTTTATATATATATTGTTTCCTTTCAAATTAAATATCGAAGAGAATATATTTGTTTTAATATTCAATTCCAACACATTCAAATTGTATTTCTTTTGTATTCTCTTTGTAATTGCCTGCATAAATGAAATAAAATAATAATTATATACTATATGAAAATCAACAATTGAAGTCTAAAAGTTATATTTCTCTCTCAATATACACTACTTCATTAAACTTGATATTATTCCACAAATGTTATTGTTTTAATAAAATAATAAAGTATATAATATTTCACCTGAAATAATAATTATTTTTCATATTTAATTTGCCAAAATAAATATATATAATAAATAAAAAAAATAAAACAGTAAAGTGAAATGGAAACTGTATTTTTGTGAAAGTCCACAACTATTTGTCGTGGCCTTCTATTACTGTCCGACGTAAACTGGTTGTTTCTACTGAAAGCCAGCATGCATTCATGTACATATATATATATATATATATATATATATATATATATAAAGGAGGTCAGTAGTGTAATTCACAAACCCCGTATCAAGTCTTACTTTCGCAATAAGAAAAGAGAATAAAATGTAAATTTTCTTTTTATACACCAACACTTTGCAATTTTGTGGACTTTTCTCTTTACACAAAATTTTCATATAGGAATCACAATATTTCTCTATGTTAATTATTATCTTTAATTATTTTTATTTCGAAATTTTTACCACTCAAATAATTAACATATATATAAAGCTAAATTCTGTAACTAATCGTAATTAATGAAATGTAGGAAAGGATTTTTTTTGGAGAGAAATATCGATAAATCACATTTGGTATTGAATGTTGGATGAAAAATGAAATTACGGTCATCACCTGCATTTGCCCTTTAATACAGAATTAGGGTAAAGTTTAAAATCGATGCAAAAACTTTTTCCCCATTTATTATATATATATATATATATATCATTTATAATTATCGCACGTATTTCCATCATAATTTATAAATAACTTTTGATTTCTAATATTTCTAGTTTAATTAATAATTAATCACAAACTAAATATGTGTTTTAATTTTTTTTAATTTAATTGTCTGAAATATTATATTTTAGAATTAATGGAATCCAAATAATATATAATATAATATATTATTAACATTATAATTTAATAATAATAATAATAATAATAATAATAATAATATATAAAAAAATAATAGTAATAAAAATAATAAAAATAATAATAATAGTAAAATAGTAATTATTATTATTATTTATTTATTTATTCTTGAACTGACTTTTCTCATGTTTAAAATTCTTTTACAGATACAATGTAATTTTTATGATTCTTACGTACTTTTTACCAATTGGTTCGATGACTTTCACGTACGCAAGGGTTGGCTTGGAATTATGGGGTTCACAAAGTATTGGGGAAGCTACCCAAAGACAATTAGATAATATAAGAAGTAAAAGAAGGGTAAGTTGTTGTTTCTATTTTACTTTTCCCTTAATTTTCTAAACTATTTATAACAACTTTTTCCTAATTATACAGTTACTAAATTAATTAACTTTTTTTCTTAATTAGCATTATATTTATAAATAATAATTATCTATTTTGTAAAAAAAAAATGTTTAATAGAAAATTCTCTTAATTACAATTCCGTCTCACTAGAATTATTTCAATAAAAAATTAATGTTTAGTAATTATTTACATTAATAATTTTTCTGTTTTTAATTATAAAATTTTCAAATTTAATTACAACAATAACAATAATAATAGTAATAATTTTTAAATGGTAAAATTGAAATACCAACTTCAAAAAAAAAAAAAAATTCTGCTTTAATTTGAATTGTTAGGATTATTTTTTTTTTCATTAACTGACCTTGATTCTTGACCTCTAATCAATAATTGACATTTGACATTCGAAATGAATCTCTATAAATGGCCTCGATTAATTAAATCTTATGCGCAATTTCCTCTTCTATACTAACAGTCATGAATGCAAGAAGAAGATAAGGAGAATCCATGCAGAGAATTGCCAAGAAGCATTCACTTGCTGACAGGATTCATCCTTCTCAAACCATCTCCTTTGCACTGACTGACAGACAGACGAACAGATAGAAATGTCGTTTTTAAATTCAAATTTTTTTTTTAATATTTAAAAAAAAAATGAAAAACAAAATAAAACTCGATATTAAATTAAAAAAAAGAATTTATAACATACAAAAAATAAATGCTGTCAATTTATTAAAAGATTTTTTTTTAAATATATTATTAATTATATTCAATGATTATAAATATGATAAGAATTATATATATATATATAATTAACATATATGAGATAACGTATATATAAATAAATATTGAGCGCGGTGGTTCTGGGTCGTAAATTTTCGGAATAAACTTTTTATTCGGGTCACGAAACATCGTGCACATTTCCGGCCATGAGGATCATCTAAGAAGCTTATATTTTATGTTCATAAAAAGATCAAGTTTTTATTACGTTATTGTCATTCGTAAATATGCGCGACAAGTCTATATATATATATATTGACAATTGTACAAAATCTACAAATATAATTTTAATATTTATATTATATATATTTATTATATGATCTATATAATTTCATAATTTAGTTTTTTCAAAAGTCAAAGAACTTTTTATTACAAAAAATTAGATATATATATATTGACGATTTATTTTATTATCACACATGTGGTGATAATCTAACGATTCAAAATCGACATTGCATCTCGTTTTTCAAAATGACAAAAACCCATTGTCTGTATATACACAATTCGAAGCAAAATACTGCTATCCATATATATATATAAACAAATTGGCATTACAACGATTATTTTTAATTAACGTTTTCACATTTTAGAGGGAGAAAATATATGACTTAAATTTTCGTAACACACCGAATTGAAATTCATCTTTGATTAAGTAGAATCATAAAATTTTGATTGCTCGCATTCTATATATCGGCAATAATTTATTAAAATGTTAACCATTTTTTTTTTTCATATAAAGCTACTTTATATCTACAATAAAATTTATACAAAATAAAATTCGAATTGGTTATTAAAAAAGGTAATAAAAAAAAAATAAAATAAATTGACATCGTTGAAAAAAAAAAATTTTTAATAATATTCCAATTATTATTTTTAGCAGGCAGTAAATTTGGAATGTCACTTTTGTCGGCTTAAAAATCATTATAAAGGCTTGTCTCGCTCTCTTGTCCGCCAAAATCACTCCTTGGAGAAGTGACATCAATTTCCTGCATAATTGAATAAAACCCCTATCTCTTTACGCGAACGACCTATCTCTCTGTCTCTCTTTCTCTCTCTCTAAATATATATATATATATATATTTTTTTTCACTCCTTCCAGATATTGAAGAAATTATTTAATTTTTTTTCCCAAGTGCTGCCACGTCGACAAGTTCTCTGCGCAGATCTTAGAAGAAAAAAAAAAAAAAAACGTTTCATTATGAAAACAAAGTGCTTCTGTACATCAACCTATTTAATTAAAGGTTCTTTTATTTCAAAGGAGCTTTTACCTCAATTGACGTTTACCTCATTTCAAAAAGTCGAAGAAAATAAAAAGTTTCAAAATTTTTATTTTTCAAACTTTCAATTGCTTTTTGTTCAAATTTTTTTTTCTTCTAAACTTTCAACATTTGGAAATAAAATTATTAAATTTTAAATATTAAAAACATTTGTTTAGCAGAAATAAGATTTTATTTAGCGCCAACCAAATAATTTTCATTTGAATTAAACTGTATATTTAAATTAAATAAAATTATTTGGATACAAATATTTATTTCTCTCTGAAACTAATAATATATTTTTTCTGAATATAGATTCTAATCTCAAAAAAAAATGAAATATTAAAGATGAAAATTAATACCAAAAAGAAAAATTAATATCGTAAAAATTAAATTATTTTCAAAACAAACTTTTTGAAGAAAGAAAATAAACTATTATTTCAATTCAGATTGAAATTACATAAACGAGGATAATAGTCGGGAAAATTTTTCTTAGAGGAAAACAAATATTTAAGTGAAAAAGAAAATGGAGATTGAAAGACAAATAAGAGGAAGGGAATCGAGAGGATATGTGTGCGATATAGAATTTGAGAACGAATCTTATTTTTTTTTTTTTTTTTTTTTTTTTTTTTTTTTTTTTGGGGTTAAAAGTACGAGAATCCAATTAGGTTTTAAGCGTGGTCTGTAAAGATGTCCTGGATTAACGTCCGTGAAGCCGGAAGGCAACCGCGTGTGGTCGGTGAAGGAGTTTAAACGTTAAGCTCCCTCTATAACTTGTAATTAGTCGAACCCAACATACTACCCCTTATATTCGCTTCCCTCTCTTTCATACACTTGTGCCTCTAATTTCTTCCAATATAAACTCCAATCCTACCGTAATAATCCCTATACACATCTTTATCATTATACGCTTCAATTTTCTCTTATCTTTCTGATAAATTGACAATAAATATTATCATATAATTCTTAATTCCGCTAATAAGTATATTATATACAACTTTATTATCGTTATGATTTATAAAAAGAATAGCAGAAAACGATTTTTCAAAAAATATTTCGAAATTTTTCTAATTCAAAAAAAGGTGTATATAAAAATAAAATAGTGGTAGAAGAAATTTTAGTCAGACGAAACATTTTTTAAAAAAACTTATATTTTATTATAAGTAGTAGAAGTCAGTTTTGGTCAGACAGAATAATTTTTTTGTAAATTTAATATAAGTAGTAAAAGTCAATTTTAATGAGAAAGAATAACAAAGTCATTTTAAAATCAAATTAAGTAGTCAAAGTCAATTATAGTCAGGCTAATATTTATTTTATGTAATTTTATTAGCAGTAGTTTAAGTAAATTTTAGTTAGACAGAACAGTTTATAATTGTAAATTTTATATATAAGTAGTACAAGTAAATATTAGTCAGACCGAACAGCTTATATTTGTAAATTTTATTCTCAGTAGTACAAGTAAATTTTAGTTAGACTAGTTTTTTTAATTTTAGTATCAGTGGTATAAGTAAATTTTAGTCAGACGACACATTTATTTTATATAATTTTATTAGCAGTAGTTCAAGTAAATTTTAGTCAGGCAGAACAGTTTCAATAATTGAGTTTTTATTGTCATTAGTTCAAGTAAATTTTAGTCAGGCAGAACAGTTTCAATAATTGAGTTTTTATTGTCATTAGTTCAAGTAAATTTTAGTCAGCCAGAACTATTTATATTTGTACACTTTAATCACAGTAGTAGTAGTAAATTTTAGTCTGACAGATCAGCTGTAATTGTAAATTTTAAAATCAGTAGTACAGGTAAATTTTAATCAAACTACTTTATTTACTTTCAATCTTAGTAGTAGAAGTCGATTTTAGTCAGAATACTTTTTGTAATTTTAGTATTAGTGGTACAAGTAAATTTTAGGCAGACTAGTTTTTTTAATTTTAGTATCAGTGGTACAAGTAAATTTTAGTCAGACAAAACAGTTTCAATAATTGAGTTTTTATTGTCAGTAGTAAAAGTAAATTTTAGTCAGCCAGAACTATTTATATTTGTCAATTTTAACTACAGTAGTAGAACTCAATTTTAGTCAGACAGAACAGTTGTGATTGTAAATTTTAGTCTCAGTAGTACAAGTAAAATTTAGTCAGACTGTTTTATAAATTTTTAGTACCAGTAGTGCAAGTAAGTTTTAGTCAGACAAAACAGTTTATAATTGTATATTTAAGTATAATTAGTACCAGTAAATTTTAATCAGACAAAACAGTTTATATTTGTAAATTTTATTCTTAGTAGTACAAGTAAATTTTAGTCAGACTATTTGATGTAATTTTAGTATCAGTGGTACAATTAAATTTTAGTCAGACAGAACAGTTGTGATTGTAAATTTTAGTCTCAGTAATACAAGTAAAATTTAATCAGACTGTCTTATGAAATTTTAGTACCAGTAGTGCAAGTAAATTTTAGTAAGACAGAACAATTTATACATCAACTTTCAGTTTTAGTAGTAGAAGTAAATTTCAGTCAGACATAGGTCAGAAAATTATTTTATATTCATTGTAAGTAGTTGAAATCAAGTTTAGTCAGACAGTACCATTTTAATTAGTAAAATTAAGTTTTTGTTACTTATTCTGGTAAATAAAAATACAATTCACTTAAAATTTTAATATTTAAAAATTCAAGTCCCTTAAAATTCTGGTTCTTAAAAATTCAAATTTCTTAAATTTCTGATACATAAAAATTCGAATCACCTATAATTATGGTATCTAAAAATTCGAATCGCTTAAAACTTTTGTTCTTGGAAATTCGAATCCCTTAAAATTATGGTTTTTAAAAATCCAAATCCCTTAAAATTTTGGTTCTTAAAAATCCAAATTCCTTAAAATTTTTGTTTTTAAAAATTCGTATCCCTTAAAATTCTAGTTTTTAAAAAATCGAATCCC